CTTTCTGAAGTCATCAGAGGTTCCAAATTTCATAATTCCAACTAAGTATAATACCTCAGAAGTCCCACACAGGTTACATGAAAAAAAAAAATTCAGTTTCAAGTATGATTTAATTTTTTTAATTTAGCAAATGCTTGATTTTAAGGTGCTGCCAGAATTCCACCAAATGCCTATTAAAACACATTTTTGGGGCGCCTGGATGGCTCAGTCGATTAAGTGTCTGACTTCAGCTCCAGTCATGATTTCATGGTTCATGAGTTCCAGCCCCGCATCCGGCTCTCTGCTGTCAGCACAGAGCCTGCTTCAGATGCTCTGTCCACCCGCTCCCCTCTCCTGCTCGTGCTTTCTCTCTCTCTCTCTCAAAAATAAACATTTTTAGTTTTTTTAATTTTTTTTTAAACATTTATTTATTTTCGAGAAACAGAGACAGAGCGTGAGCAGGGAAGGAGCAGAGAAAGAGAGGGAGACACAGATCTGAAGCAGGCTCCAGGTTCTGGGCTGTCAGCACAGAGCCCGACGTGGGGCTCGAACTCACAGACCGTGAGATCACAGCCAGAGCAAAAGTCGGACACTTAATCGACTGAGCCACCCAGGCACCCCACTCAAAAATAAACATTTAAAAAAATAATGAAAATAAAAAAATAAAACACATTTTCTATATAGTCTTTCTCAGTGTGTCGACAAAATATATCATAAAACCTACAGGCTAAAATATTCTAAATTAAACAATAAAAATAAATAAAAGACTTTTTAGCCAAATGCCTCTAGCTGAAAAAACTAGATGATTTCAATTTTATATTAACAAACTGTCATCTCTATCATACTGTCATGTGAATACCTTATGTACCCATTTAAAATTTTTCTCCATAAAAGGTAAACATTTAACTCTCCAATGAAAAAAAACTTGTTAATCTATGATTTTAGGGGTACCTAGCTGGCTCAGTTGGTGGAGCATGCCATTCTAGATCTCTACCCATTGGGAATAGAGATTACCAAAAAAAAAAAAAAAAAAAAAAAACAACTTTAAAAAAAAAAATCGATGGTCGGGGGCACCTGGGTGGCTCAGTCCGTTGAGCCAGTCTTGATTTTGGCTCAGGTCACGATCTCATGGTTCAGGAGTCTGAGCCCTTTGTGGACCCAAATACAGAGCCTGCTTGGGATGCTCTCGCTCTCGCTCTCTGCCCCTCCCCTGCTCGTATGCGCTCTCTCTCTCAAAATAAATAAACTTTAAAAAAAAAAAATTTGATGGTTTTAGAAAAGTAAGCTTGTAGTACCAACCAACGTCTTTACATCATGAATAGTCATATTACCTACATAGTAGTCGATAGACGAATAAACTAGTGAATAATTTCTTTTGCTGGGAATTTAACACGTTAGTACTTAAGCCAAAGTTCTAGTCTACAAAAATTAATTAAATTGTTCTAAATTACCAATAAAGAGTAATCCTTTGACAGTAGCTTTGACAGTACAGGATTCAAAGCCACCAATCCTATGTCTTTATGTGCTCTTGGGGTATCAAGTCCCACAATGCTTTTTTCTTCCCAAGCATACACATATACACATTTACCTGACAGCCTCCTTCCCAGCCTTTATTGTCTGGAAGTACAGACAATAAAACCAATGAAACTCGTGCTCAGCCTCAACAACTCACACTGTCATGCACTGTTACGCATTCCAGTCAAGTGGACATATTCTCAAAGTTTAGAACACAAAATGCATGATCCCTTTTACCCTAATCTTGAGAAATAATGTGCTTTAAAAAGTAAATCATCCAACAAGTTAACACCACATCCAATAGAGAGAGGCAAATGCCTGGCAGGTAATATGAAATAGCCGTACGAAATATGAAATAGTATAAACGAAACACACTAACTCTGCTACTAAAAACACTCACTGGTCAAACTATCAAAATTTACTTAGACTAATTTTTAGTTTCCCAAATCCCAAATATTTAGGAGCTATGGCACCCATTGTAGAATTATCAAAACTTCCATCTATTACAGCTCTTACCTAACAATCATTTATCTAACCAATCTTTTGATGAGTGGCTGCTATGTGCAAGATACTGTACTAGGAACTGCAAGGGACAGAAGATTAATACAAAAAGATATAATCCTTAACTTCATGTAAACATAGGACAAGACTCCTACCAGGTAGGATACAAATATCATTAATAAAAACAAAATGTCACGGAAGTACACAAATATACAAGTTTGCTTTTTGTTTTTTTTTTTTAAAGGAAACCTAAACACAAATTGTAATTTAAGTCGGCATACACACAAGCTCTCAACCCTAAGTACTGCCTGCTGGTCCCTCAAAGAGAGGTCAAAGTTAGCTGAACAACCCTGCCAAAATGCCTCAGCTCTGTCTAGCCCCAAATAACTTGGTCAGATAGTGTAATTCAGTCTCTCTGGGTCTTTCAATTCTGGGCAGAAAGAACCACATGCGATTTCGTAAGGTAAAAACTATTACTATAAAAGATACTAACTTGGCGAGAAATGAAAAGTGGCATGCAGTTCCTTCTACGTGCAAGACATAAATACTTGAACTTGATTCATTCCCTTCAATCTCCTCCCAGCCTCCCTTCCTTCTCCCCACCCCCCCAACCGGGCAAAGGCAGGCAACTATTCTGTCAGGCAAAAAAATTACCTTCTGCACTTGCTGTTAAGACAACCCCTAGGAGTCTAGTCTGGCTTAATACACTCCTCCGTAAGTAGTTAAGCATTTATAAAAAAATGGAAATATTTTAACTGAACCTCTTCTGCTACCCTAGTCTCTTTTTAAAACCAGTGACACACCTTAATTACTTTGTTAACATCCTATTTCTTCATAAACTTAACTTTGTAAATGCTCGTAAAACTGGAATCTAATTTAGGTAATCCAGACTAAGGAAAATGTAAAGGAAGAATCTTGTAGATTATTGTTACAAATTACATTTTTTTTCCACAATTTAGTAACCTGCAACTGCGTATTTAATACAAAGCAGCAATTGTGTGTTTGAAATCAAAACAAAACAAATGCATCTCAGCACCAGCCCAGAGAAACTTTCTGTGAGAAAACAGGAGAGAAGTCACCCTGGAGAAATTCATTACACATCCAAGGAAGACTTATCCTTAGAAACAGAATGGGGGAAAAAAAAAAAGTCATTTTGTAATAAATCCCCACGTACTTCTGCTGTGTAACTTAGAAGTTAGTCCAAAAGTTCACCTTCAGCAATTATGTCTGCATGATCAACTATACATCTTCTGCAACAGGTGATCCGAAACTGCATTTCTCAGGCGAAGCAAAGGGATCGAATTAGCTAAGCCGCGTGTTGCTAACGCTTTCCTACTTTTATTTTGGATTTTACCAAAATGACTTGGAATCGAATGTACTGCCAAATTCGTTTTGGTTTCGTCTGGTTTTCTACGTTGCTTTTTTAATCAGCCATTTACTAGCAACTGTTGCACGAGCCCATTAGCACCCGAGAATAAAAACAAACACACAGGGCCAGATAAGGCTCCCCTACTAACCCAACTGATCCATTTCCTTAACACAATTTTAAAACCACACTGCTAGGAGTGTGAAGAGAAGCATGTTTTTGTGTATCTGTGTGCCACAATCTGTCTAAATCCTCAATTCCCTTTTAAGGAACAGATATATAATAAAAATCTAAAAGAAACCACATTAGAAATGCAAAGAGGTTTGCAAAACAAGAGGCTTCTTTCATTCCAAAAACCAAACCAAAACAAGGGGAGAAAAATGAATGTAATGGAAATGTGTGTGCCAAAGTTTCAATCCTGCCCGGTGGAGACACTGCACTGGCACAAATTTTGAAGAGGAAAAAGAGGGGGTTGGGGGGAGAGAAAGAGAGAGCGAGTGTGTGGCCTGCAAACTGCAACAATGCAATCTCCATTTTGAACAATGCGCCTCTTTCCTCTTGTAAATCTAGTTTTTTGCCACTTGATGTGCCGT